ACACATTTTTTACATCTATGCATTTAACTTGAAGTGTTTTATGTTTTTTTTTTTTTTGCAGGTCCTGGCAGAATTTAACCAGATCACCAGCTCCAAACTGGGCAATGATTTTGTTGAAGCATTGGATTGCCTAACGACACAGTTCATCAAGCTCTTTAAGGTCAAAAGGGGGTCTGCTGGCGCTAAGCTTTCCAAGAGAGTCCGGCACCTCGATTCCTTTGTAAGTTCATAAAGCAATAACAAAAAGAAATGACATATGATTGTGTTTGGTGTTGTAATGCACATATGTACAGCAGAGGAGATGGGGAAAGGAGAAAGGTACACATCAAAAGAGGTACTGCTGCATTTTGTATCCTAAGATTTTTGGTACAATTGTAGATTGTCATTTTACATTTTCCACGTGTTTGTAGATGGTGGAACTGCAGGAAAACCCTGGTGACCGAGAGATCCTTAAAGATTATAATTCTGTGAGATCACTAAGTCACCGCTCTCGAAGACAACTTGTCGACCTTCTCGTCAGTGACATGAGTGAAACACATGGGTATGTTGTATCAGTTATTACTCAAAAGTTGCTTCTTACAAGTGGAAGGATATTTACTCAAAATAAAATGAAAATCACTTGAAAGACCTTTCACAATAATCACGTAACAATTCAGTTTCTCTCAGCACTGTTATTGATTCCCCATTGTAAGATAAATAGTACTGATCTCTTTTATAAATGACCGAGGTAGATGTTCTGTAGATTATCTCTTGGTTAGGTCCCCGTGAAAATATGTACTTGTAGAAACTATTAATTTAGCCTTTTTATGTAACCATGAAGTCCTTTGACCATGACTGTTTTTCTTTCCTTAGACAAATGCCTTCCCGAAAACAAAAAAAGCTATGCTCTTAGAATTATCACACTTTTTTCATTGAAGGATCCATTTTCTCAAAAAGGTTATGTAAGTATTGTTAATGTATCCATGGAAATTGAATTTGGTTTACCTACATGTTTTGTGTCGGTAATGGATATGTATAGATACCAATCATAACTGTACACTTTGTTTTCAGACTAATCAAGCCTCGTAATGAGACGGTGACCTCCTATTTGCTTAACACAATATCTGCAAGTCCACATTTCCACGATGTTGATAAAGACGACATTGTGTGTAAGTGTTTTACTGTTTCTCCCTTTAACCTGGTTTTAAACATTGTCAGAGAGGAGCTGTCACTTTAGCTGTGCTACAACTGAGGTATTTTATATTTATCTTTTTTAATGTACTGTGATTATTTATTTTAATGCTTTCTTATTTTGCTCAGCACTTCGAGTTGCCTTGTGTATGAATTGTGCTAGACAAATAAACTTGCCTTGCCATCGTACTTCCTGGTTCTAGTCAGGACTGGAGCTGCTTAATTAGAGTGTAAACCACAGAACAGAGAGATTTATGTGAATAGATTAGAATAGTTTTAAACTATAGTGAATAGTGAAAGTAAAGTACACAGTCTAAGATTAAAAAGGTGAAAATAATACAGTGAAATAAGTGAAGTGTAGTGTAAACAATTAGCATTAGAATAAAAGTATAGAGCAGTGTCTCCCAAAGTGGGGTCCGCGGCCCCCTGGTGGGCCGCGAGGGTACTGCAGGGGGGCCGCGGGAGGTCATAAAAAAAATAAAAAAATAATATAATTATTTAATGTTAAATTTATAATGTTTTGTTTGTAATATTAAAATATTTGTGTTCATTATTTGACTTGAATAATCCACTGTAATCATTTTTGTATTACAATGTTTGTAGCAGAGGCTATTTCCCCAAAATAAAATAACCAGAAGAGCCTATTCTTAATGTTGTCTTCTTGGTTATTATTTTGGTGGGCCACGCAGACCCGTCAGATTTTTAAGGGGGCCTCGGTGTTACTGAGTTTGGGAATGGCTGGTATAGAGTAATAAAAGTGAAATTAGCTTCAAATTTGAGACTCAGCTCGTTTTTGTCTGTGTTTTGACTGAATCTGCTGAGTTCTTGTGTGTCCAATAGTTTTTGTTTGTTTATATTTTTGTTTGTTTTTATTTTTGATTTGTTTTTTGTTTGTTTATTTACTTTATTTTTGTTTTTTATTTTTTTCCCAGGATGGAGGATAAAATCCACTGATATTGATTTGATGATTATGAGTTTAATGCATACATTTTCTTTGTTTTTAATATTTTTTTAAAGTTTTTTTTTGGAATTATTATTTTTTTTTTTTCTTTTTCCACTTTATTGATTGATCGATTTGAGTGATCACATGTGATTATGTGATCAAAGGGGAGGGTGTTAGTATTAGATAGCAATATGGCCTACGTGCAGGACTGTACAAGGACTCTACAAGGACTCCATGTTATGACTATGATGTGACTGTCTCTTTGTGACACGTATGTCTTTCGATGTGTGACGTGACAATGACTATATAAACTGTGTACTGCCTTTATTCTGTCTGAGGGAAAGAAACAGAGTAAACTAATGGAACTTGAGAGAAACTTAAATAAACTTCCAGAGTTTGGCACACCACGATCCGTCTCTGTCTGCTAAATCCTAACACTTTTTTCCCCAGAAGGTATTACATTTGGGTAAAATCAAACTGGAGAAAATGCAGCACAAGTGTTGATCCACAAGATCAACACTTGATTCAGACACATGGGCTGTAGTTAGAGGACCTCCATAAGTATTCAGTGAATCCTACATGTGTTCATTTTGTAATGTGGGAGGAAACATGTAAGCAGCTAGGACTTTAAGGAATAGGCCACGGTTTTTACACACTGACATATGCTCTGTCATGCAAACTGAGCACAAACACAGCCTCTTCCACAGACTGTATAGTTCCAAATCAGCTCCCGTTAGAAGCTCCCAAACTCCTCCATGTGTTCCCTATTTAAATACAGTTACGTGACGTGTTACACTACCAAGTATAGTAATAATACGAGGAGCACTACGTCCATGCACTAACTCCCAAGACTTCTCTCCCGCTCACTTCCGTCAATAGCAGCGTGAGAGAAGTCTTGGGAGTTAGTGCGTGGACGTAGCGGTCATTGTGCTCCTTGTATTATTACGCCTCACAATATAGTTCCCCTTTTTATCCACTGAGAAAATCAACATGTTACATTTCTGTGTTACTGTACTTGGTAGTGTAACACGTCATGTAACTTTATTTAAATAGGGAACACGTGGAAGAGTTTGGTAGCTTCTAACGGGAGCTGATTTGTTACTATACAGTCTGTGGAAGAGGCTGCATTTGTGCTCTGTTTGCATGACAGAGCACATGGACACAGACCAGACAGGTACATATCAGTCTAAGGTAAGAACATGTGTCAGTATGTAAACACGGGGCCTATTCCTTTAACCCATGACCTGTGTTTGACTGCTTAGCTCTGCACCACTGTGATGCAGAGCTAAGCAGTTTGTATTGCAGCACATTTGTATTTTAAATGTAATTTTTTTTAAATATATTTCAGGTGTTTTTTTCTCCATCAACCCAGAGAAGGGAACCAAAGCGGAGAAAAGCAAAACCAAACGTCTTAATGTGAACCCCAGAGTCCTTACCTTGATTCAAGAACTGTCAGATCATGAGTGGTGTAATGTCTGAATATGGACTGAAATAAGTAAGGTTTGTGGGCTGCGATGGAGTTTTATATTGTTGTGACGTTCAATGTTTCAAATTTGTTCTTCAGCTCTTAAATTAAGCTTAAACCCACATGTATTTTCTGTTAAAGGAATAGTTAAGTTTTTCCTTACTGAAATGTTCTTACCTTAGGTTAGCCCAGCTGATGTGTACCTTTTGCTCTTTGTGTAATGTCACATCTGAGACATTTGAAGCTAGCGAGCTCTGCCATGTTTATTCTATTTTTAAATTCAGTGACGTGAAGTGTAGTTACACAGAATTTAAACATATTGATTTTCTAAGCGGAATAAAAATAACTTATGTTGTGAGGCGGAATAATACGAGGAGTACTTCCACACACAACGCTTCAAAGACTTCTCTCATGCTCACTTCAATCAATAAAAGGAAAAAATGGAAATTAATAACTGCTTGACCCCAGTCTGAGCTAGTCACGCTGTTTTTTTATTTCTATAGTTTCTATTGACTGAAGTGGGCGGGAGAGAAGTCTTTAGGAGTTGTACGCGATACAAGTGCCCCTTATATTATTCGGCCACACAACAAGGGTCCTCCTTTTTATCTGCATAAAAAATCAACTTAGTTTAAATTCTAAATGGCTTGCGTAATGGCTTGGATCAGATTGCATCATACAAGCCAAAAAAGTCTTTTGTTTTAATTATTTTTGGATGGAGATAAGCATATTTGAGAATATTTTATTTTACATTAGTGTTTTACAGTGAAATATTTTGACATTTGTTTAAAACGGTCTTAGTATTGACTTTTGGCACTGTAGTGTTGTCACTGAATATACAGTAAAGTTTCATTTTCATTTATTTTGTGAAATGACTCATTTAATGCAGCTTTTAGTTAAGCAATGTTGAAAGTGCAATATTTTTCAGGGAAATGTCAAAGTACATACAAAACATTAAACTTGTAAACTGTACTGAAAAAGATTGTTTAATAACAAGGTGGTAACTTGTTATTAAAGTATAAAAAGCATAGTAAACCTGTACATTTAGCTGAAAAAGATCGTTTTAATAATTAGGTGATTATGTATAAAAAGCGTAGTAAACATGTACTTTTTACTGTAAAAACTAGTTTTAATAACGGGGTGGTTTTGGTAAATATACAGAAAAAAACCTGTTTAAATACATGCAATACAATGTGAACAATAAGTCCACATTTCCACCATGTTGATAAAGACGACATTGTGTGTAAGTGTTTTACTGTTTCTTCCTTGTGTGACGTTACTGTGACTTGCGTTTGATTTTTATTCATATCACTCTTTTGATTGTTTTCTAGCGGCCTGTAAGACGTATTATGAGACGGTTCGTTGGAGCCATCAAAATGCCAAGCCAGAAAACTCATTGAGGGCGGATGTGGCGAAGAGTTCAGCTCACATGACCTCACCCCAGCCAATCACAGCCAACCACATGACCTCACCCCAGCCAATCACAGCCAACCACATGACCTCACCGCAGCCAATCACAGCCAACCACATGACCTCACCCCAGCCAATCACAGCCAACCACATGACCTCACCCCAGCCAATCACAGCAAACCACATGACCTCACCCCAGCCAATCACAGCCAACCACATGACCTCACCCCAGCCAATCACAGCCAACCACATGACCTCACCCCAGCCAATCACAGCCAATCACATGACCTCACCCCAGCCAATCACAGCCAATCACATGACCTCACCCCAGCCAATCACGTAGTAGACCTTCATCCTCCGGTCCTCACTGATGTTGACAGACACCACTTTACTCCAGAGCAGCAGACCCTCCACCAGCATCCAGCAGAAGGAGGCCATGTAGAAGAGGTGGAGGAGGGCGGTGACCAGGAAACACACAACCTGCAACACAACACAACAACATGACAACACAACCACAACCTGCAACACAACCACAATCTGCAACACAACCTCAACCTGCAACACAACCACAACCTGCAACACAACCACAACAACAGGAGACCAGCAGAACGAGGCCATGTACATATAAGAGATGGAGATATGGGGACCAAGAAACACACAACCTGGAATATTACACAAAATGACAACACAACCACAACAGGACAACACAACCACAGCAGGACAGCAGCTTCCTCCCAGAACCCGGAGAAGAGTGTTTGCTTATTGTGGAAGAACCTGATAAATCTCTACAATAACAGGGTCTGAGATGGACCTGATGGGGAAGTGATGATGGGACCTCATCCTCCTCCCCGACTGGGACCTGCCTCAGTCCTGGGTCTACAGCCTCAGACCTGGGTCTACAGCCTCAGTCGTGGGTCTACAGCCTTAGTCGTGGGTCTACAGCCTCAGACCTGGGTCTACGGCCTCAGTCCTGGGTCTACGGCCTCAGTCCTGGGTCTACGGCCTCAGTCCTGGGTCTACGGCCTCAGTCCTGGGTCTGCAGCCTCAGACCTGGGTCTACGGCCTCAGTCCTGGGTCTACGGCCTCAGTCCTGGGTCTACAGCCTCAGTCCTGGGTCTACAGCCTCAGTCCTGGGTCTACAGCCTCAGTCCTGGGTCTACAGCCTCAGTCCTGGGTCTACGGCCTCAGTCCTGGGTCTACGGCCTCAGTCCTGGGTCTACGGCCTCAGTCCTGGGTCTACAGCCTCAGTCCTGGGTCTACAGCCTCAGTCCTGGATCTACGGCCTCAGTCCTGGGTCTACAGCCTCAGTCCTGGGTCTACAGCCTCAGTCCTGGGTCTACAGCCTCAGTCCTGGGTCTACGGCCTCAGTCCTGGGTCTACGGCCTCAGTCCTGGGTCTACAGCCTCAGTCCTGGGTCTACGGCCTCAGTCCTGGGTCTACGGCCTCAGTCCTGGGTCTACGGCCTCAGTCCTGGGTCTACGGCCTCAGTCCTGGGTCTACGGCCTCAGTCCTGGGTCTACAGCCTTAGTCCTGGGTCTACAGCCTCAGTCCTGGGTCTACAGCCTTAGTCCTGGGTCTACAGCCTCAGTCCTGGGTCTACAGCCTCAGTCCTGGGTCTACAGCCTCAGTCCTGGACATTGGTCTCTGTCCCTTATGGGCCAATGACTCCATGTGTCTTTAATGATATATAGTTTGATCTGTTTGATTCTCTGATCTGTGTTGGAGAATCAACAGTTTAGTGATTAAAAAAATATAATAATAATAAATTGAATTGAATCAAAGCGGTGGGAGTTGGGCCTGATGGAGGGGAGGGGGGATTAAGACAAAATCCAAAGAAGAAGGCGAGGATCAAGCAGAGAATCAAACCATGAAGCTGCTCCACATAGTACTACGACACACTGTGGTGGTGTGGACTACAGAGGAACAGAGCGAGGACCAGAAGGAGCCATCACCTCATTGGCTGAAGCCTTCTCGCTGCACATCAGCAGCATCTGTGCCAGGGCCAGGGCCACGATCAGGTTTTTGTGGACGGTGGTTCTGTCGGACTTGGGGACCCTGCACACAGCGGCAGAGCAGAAGCTAGCACAATGCTACGTGGCTAACGGTAGCTTCTGGTCATTAGCAGTGTTTTATCCTTTACCTTGATCATTGCTGACTCAGTAAAACAGACATAATGAACCATCAGAGTCGTGTCTCAGTCGCTCTGCCAAGGTCCAAACATCAGAGACTAGACTAGACTAGACTAGACTAGTCTACCCTTCCCGACCCTACCCTACCCTATTCTACTCTACCCTACCCTACCCTACCCTACCCTACTCTACCCTACCCTACCCTACCCTACCCTACTCTACTCTACTCTACTCTACCCTACCCTACCCTATTCTACTCTACCCTACCCTACCCTACCCTACCCTACTCTACCCTACCCTACCCTACCCTACCCTACTCTACCCCACCCTACTCTACTCTACTCTACTCTACTCTACTCTACTCTACCCTACCCTACCCTACCCTACCCTACTCTACTCTACACTACCCTACACTACCCTATTCTACTCTACCCTACCCTACCCTACCCTATTCTACTCTACCCTACCCTACCCTACTCTACTCTACTCTACTCTACTCTACTCTACCCTACCCTATTCTACTCTACCCTACCCTACCCTACCCTACCCTACCCTACCCTACCCTACCCTACCCTACTCTACCCTACCCTACCCTACCCTACCCTACCCTACCCTACCCTACCCTACTCTACTCTAAGTGGTTCCGCTCTGGTGCAGGAGGGTCTGTCTCAAACCGGTCCTCAAAGGGCCCAAACAGGAGCACACCAGACTCTACCCATTCCCTCAAATCTTCGGGCTAAACCTGGACTCACTGTAGGAAATGAGTGACGTGTTGTGTGCTCCTAGCCTGGCCTTACCACACCATCGTACTCATTTCATTTGGCACTAAGGTCTGGATCTGCTCCACTGACTACGTTAACAGGTGGGAGGGGCTAACTCCTTTTGCAGATTGAAACCATTGGATCTGAGTTTACTGTGACTGATCTGGGGCAGTTCTGTGCATTTATTCAGATTTTTGGACAGTGGTCCCGCTCCCTATGGACCAATGTCTTTTTGTGTTTGTCATTGCATTTCCTGTGTTTGATTCTCAGATCTGCTGTTGCTGAATCCACAACTTAGTAAAGCTGATATAGTTTGAATTGCAGTGAAAGTGTGTGTTGTGGAGATATTATAATAACTGAGAGTAAAGCAGATCCAGCCTCGGCGCCCGGAGCCTGAGTGTGTCTGTTATTGAGCGAGCACTGCACTTCTGAATGCTGTTTCACCCCTGGCGCTTTGCGGAGTGCTCCAGGCGCCGCGGCCATCTCACCCCATGGCGAGGGAGAGCACGAGGTGAAGATGGCGCCACACTCACCCCATGGCGAGGGAGAGCACGAGGTGAAGATGGCGCCACACTCACCCCATGGCGAGGGAGAGCACGAGGTGAAGACGGCGCCACACTCACCCCACGGCGAGGAAGAGCACCAAGGTGAAGAGGAGGCCGCACAAAGACACTCCACAGCCGATAAACGTCAGCACCTCCAGGGCCCTCTGATTCTCTGGGCTCCACTGCACACACACACACAGACACACACACATACACAGACGCACACAGACGCACACACACAGACACAAGGGCATAAATAGAAATGTGTGCTGAAAAGAAAGACATCAGCAAACAGAGAGAGCTGGATAAAGAGAGAGGAACTATGCGGGTGTGTGTGTGTGAGAGTGTGTGTCTGGGTACGTGTGTGTGTGTGTGTCTGTGTACGTGTGTGTGTGTGTGTGAGAGAGTGTTTGTCTGCGTACGGTGTGTGTGTGTGTGTGTGTGTGTGTGTGTGTGTGTGTGTGTGTGTGTCTGCGTACGTGTGTATGAGTCTGCGTACGTGTGTGTGTGTCTGCGTACGTGTGTGTGTGTGCAGAGAGGACACTGTAGTACACCAGGATTACAAAGGCCATACTAGTCGTGTCCTCACAGAGGGTGGGGCTGTCCCTGGCTCTGGTTTAGTTTAGTCTGACGCCTCGGTGCAAAAGACATTGAATTTAAGTATTTGGTTCCTCGATAGTAGGTTAGTGATGTTATTACCTTTTATTTTACATTTACTGTTAATCTTATTTCTACGAAGAAGACAAGATGAATCTAGTAACATAGTAAGTAAGTTAGTAAGTAAGTTTTTATTTATATACCGCCTTTTCACTGCAGATCTGAGTCTCAAAGCGGTTTACAATTGTTAATTTTGCGCATTTGTCTCTCACTCCACACAGAGATGGGAGCGGGGCCAGTACAGGAGCCACATGCCAGAACTATTGGACATATTTTTAGTGGTAGGGGAAACCGGAGTACCCGGAGGAAACCTACGCAGACACGGGGAGAACATGCAAACTCCACTCAGAAAGGCCCTGGTCCGACCGGGATTCGAACCCAGGACCTTCTTGCTGAGAGGCGAGAGTGCTGAGTGGCTGCAGATAATATTACATAACATAATATTTTGAATAAAGTTGAATCCACTGTGAGCCTAAAACCGTCTAATATCACTTAGCCCCTCCCCCTGTGCAGGAAGGGAGACAGACATGGACATAATAATATACTAAATATGAATATTTAATTTGTTATGATTCAGCTGCACCTCTCTGACTGCCCTGATGAGGTACGGGGCAGGTACGACCCAGTGCCTCTGCTCAGTTTCGTATCACTCTGTTTCATACCACTCTGGTATCGCAGAAACACAGTCGTAAACCATGAAGTACAATCAGCCAATCAGCAAACAGGTGAAGCCATGACGTCAGTAAACAGTGCATTCCAACTGCAGGAGCTGACCACACTCAGTAAGATTAAGAAACTTAAACATTTAAAAGTCTCCTCTGCTTCTGTTTGGTTGGATTTATTAAACCTACAGCGTTTGAAGATCTTCCTTTTGGGGACCTGCCTTGTGAGGACCTGCCCTGTGAGTTCCTGCCCTGTGAGGACCTGCCCTGTGAGGATTTGCCCTGTGATGACCTGCCCTGTGAGGATCTGCCCTGTGAGGACCTGCCCTGTGAGGACCTGCCCTGTGAGGACCTGCCCTGTGAGTTCCTGCCCTGTGAGGACCTGCCCTGTGAGGATTTGCCCTGTGATGACCTGCCCTGTGAGGACCTGCCCTGTGAGGACCTGCCCTGTGAGGATCTGCCCTGGGAGGACCTGCCCTGGGAGGACCTGCCCTGTGAGGACCTGCCCTGGGAGGACCTGCCCTGTGAGGACCTGCCCTGTGAGGACCTGCCCTGTGAGGACCTGTCCTGTGAGGATCTGCCCTGTGAGGACACTTATGTAGACCCAGCCTTACATTCTGTGCCGACAACAATCGTCAAAATAGAGAAATTAAACACAGAGCATAGATAATGTGTATAGTAGTAAGTAAGTAAGTAATGTTTATTTATATAGCACATTTTACAGACCAAGGCCAGACCCAAAAGCGCTTTACAATGTTCAGTGTTAGAGTTGTATCCAGGAGAAAGAGCTTCTGCTTTTTACAGTGTCACAACCAAACAGCAGCCAAAGAATCCTACTGATGAGATTTACCAACTGGACTCCAACCAACAACCAACAGTTCAATGTGTGAATACCCCCATGGGGGTGGTAGTGCTGATGCAGGAGGACATTTCTACACATCTATCAACATTTCGGGACAGTGGCCTCCTGCTCCGACAGACCAGACATGTCAGATCTGACCAAGAAGACACATTTTATTGTCCTAAAAGGATTATCAGTATTGCATTGGTTTTCTGCAGAGCTGTGTTGGACACCGACAGACTTCCATGACTCTCTCACACACACTGGAGCAAAGGGACTACAGAGCACAGGTACCTGTACTTCGTAGACCTGCAGCAGCAGAGCGAAGTTGGTGGTGTGGTTACAGAAGCAGACCGTGGAGCTGTAGTGTTTGGAGACCACCTCACAGCCTTTGGTGTTCCACCAGCCCCCAGACTCCGGCCTGGAGACACCACAGAGGGACACAAGATACTATACCATTATAATTTAAACCAGGAAAGAACTTTTCAGATTCCTGGTCCCAGACTCTTCCTGAAATATACTGTGTATCTGTGATGTAATCGTCTGTCTCCCTCTGTTCAGACTCTAAGGGGTTCACAAAGCTACTACTACTACTACTACTCCTACTTCTACTTCTACTACTGCCACTGCTGTTGTTGTTACTGCAACAACAACTACTACTACTATTACTACTACTACTACTACTCCTGCTACTACACACATGTAAGTTCATAACACCTGATCCATGTTTTCACCTTGAACTCATGGATCATTGATTAAACATAAACGTGAGACACTGCTCAGGCCTCTCTCTCCTCTGCACCTGGGCGACACAATAGACTAAAGTATTTCCTCAGTTTAACTCCGGCACAGACACAAAGAGAACAAAGCTGAATAACAATCTTTGTAGAAAACTCTGAGCACATGGACTTACATAAGACTGAAGTCCCAGAAAGCACAGACAGGATCGTACACAGTCCCCGCAGATCCCTGAGGAAACAGAAGGATGAGGTCTCACTCTGAGGTGGAAACAGAAGGATGAGGTCTCACTCTGAGCAGGTGGAAACATAAAGGATGAGGTCTCACTCTGAGCAGGTGGAAACAGAAGGATGAGGTCTCATCTCTGAGGTGGAAACAGAAGGATGAGGTCTCACTCTGAGGTGGAAACAGAAGGATGAGGTCTCACTCTGAGGTGGAAACAGAAGGATGAGGTCTCACTCTGAGGTGGAAACAGAAGGATGAGGTCTCACTCTGAGGTGGAAACAGAAGGATGAGGTCTCACTCTGAGGTGGAAACAGAAGGATGAGGTCTCACTCTGAGGTGGAAACAGAAGGATGAGGTCTCACTCTGAGGTGGAAACAGAAGGATGAGGTCTCACTCTGAGCAGGTGGAAACAGAAGGATGAGGTCTCACTCTGAGGTGGAAACAGAAGGATGAGGTCTCACTCTGAGCAGGTGGAAACATAAAGGATGAGGTCTCACTCTGAGCAGGTGGAAACAGAAGGATGAGGTCTCACTCTGAGGTGGAAACAGAAGGATGAGGTCTCACTCTGAGGTGGAAACAGAAGGATGAGGTCTCACTCTGAGGTGGAAACAGAAGGATGAGGTCTCACTCTGAGGTGGAAACAGAAGGATGAGGTCTCACTCTGAGCAGGTGGAAACAGAAGGATGAGGTCTCACTCTGAGCAGGTGGAAACAGAAGGATGAGGTCTCACTCTAAGCAGGTGGAAACAGAAGGATGAGGTCTCACTCTGAGCAGGTGGAAACAGAAGGATGAGGTCTCACTCTGAGGTGGAAACAGAAGGATGAGGTCTCACTCTGAGCAGGTGGAAACAGAAGGATGAGGTCTCACTCTAAGCAGGTGGAAACAGAAGGATGAGGTCTCACTCTGAGCAGGTGGAAACAGAAGGATGAGGTCTCACTCTGAGGTGGAAACAGAAGGATGAGGTCTCACTCTGAGCAGGTGGAAACATAAAGGATGAGGTCTCACTCTGAGGTGGAAACATAAGGATGAGGTCTCACTCTGAGCAGGTGGAAACAGAAGGATGAGGTCTCACTCTGAGCTCTAACCTGTGTCCTGTGGTGCAGCTGGAAGCGCACAGCGGTGTTGATTGGCTGCTCGTCTCCCAGGACCGTGGTGGAGATGACAGAGGAGCCCAGGACGGTGCCCAGGAACCTGCACAGACACATGGTACAGACACATGGTACAGACACATGTACAGACACATGTACAGACACACAGCACAGACACATGGTACAGACACATGGTACAGACACATGTACAGACACATGTACAGACACACAGCACAGACACATGGTACAGACACATGGTACAGACACATGTACAGACACATGTACAGACACACAGCACAGACACATGTACAGACACATGGTACAGACACATGTACAGACACATGGTACAGACACACGGTACAGACACACGGCACAGACACATGTACAGACACATGTACAGACACACAGCACAGACACATGTACAGACACATGGTACAGACACATGTACAGACACATGGTACAGACACACGGTACAGACACATGTACAGACACATGTACAGACACACAGCACAGACACATGTACAGACACATGGTACAGACACATGTACAGACACACAGCACAGACACACGGTACAGACACATGGTACAGACACATGTACAGACACATGTACAGACACATGTACAGACACACAGCACAGACACATGTACAGACACATGTACAGACACATGGTACAGACACATGTACAGACACATGGTACAGACACACGGTACAGACACACGGCACAGACACATGTACAGACACATGTACAGACACACAGCACAGACACATGTACAGACACATGGTACAGACACATGTACAGACACATGGTACAGACACACGGTACAGACACACGGCACAGACACATGTACAGACACACGGTACAGACACATGTACAGACACATGTACAGACACACGGTACAGACACATGGTACAGACACATGTACAGACACACAGCACAGACACATGTACAGACACATGGTACAGACACATGTACAGACACATGGTACAGACACACAGTACAGACACACGGCACAGACACATGTACAGACACATGTACAGACACATGTACAGACACACGGCACAGACACATGTATAGACACATGTACAGACACACGGTACAGACACACGGTACAGACACATGTACAGACACATGGTACAGACACATGTACAGACACACGGTACAGACACACGGTACAGACACACGGTACAGACACATGTACAGACACATGTACAGACACACGGTACAGACACACGGTACAGACACACGGCACAGACACATGGTTGAGACACATGGTACAGACACATGGTACAGACACACGGCACAGACACATGTACAGACACATGTACAGACACACAGCACAGACACATGTACAGACACACGGTACAGACACATGTACAGACACACGGTACAGACACACGTACAGACACATGTACAGACACACGGTACAGACACATGTACAGACACATGTACAGACACACGGTACAGACACATGTACAGACACATGGTACAGACACATGTACAGACACACAGCACAGACACATGTACAGACACATGGTACAGACACACGGAACAGACACACGGTACAGACACCCGGTACAGACACATGTACAGACACACGGCACAGACACATGTACAGACACATGTACAGACACATGTACAGACACACGGTACAGACACACGGTACAGACACATGTACAGACACATGCACAGACACACGGTACAGACACACAGCACAGACACACGGTACAGACACACGGTACAGACACACGGCACAGACACATGTACATACACATGCACAGACACACGGTACAGACACACGGTACAGACACACGGCACAGACACATGCACAGACACACGGTACAGACAAACGGCACAGACACACGGTACAGACACACTGTACAGACACATGTACAGACACATGGTACAGACACATGTACAGACACACAGCACAGACACATGTACAGACACATGGTACAGACACATGGTACAGACACACGGCACAGACACATGTACAGACACATGTACAGACACACAGCACAGACACATGTACAGACACACGGTACAGACACATGTACAGACACACGGTACAGACACACGTACAGACACATGTACAGACACACGGTACAGACACATGTACAGACACATGTACAGACACACGGTACAGACACATGTACAGACACATGGTACAGACACATGTACAGACACACAGCACAGACACATGTACAGACACATGGTACAGACACATGTACAGACACATGGTAGAGACACACGGTACAGACACACGGCACAGACACATGTACAGACACACGGTACAGACACATGTACAGACACATGTACAGACACACGGTACAGACACATGTACAGACACACGGTACAGACACACGGCACAGACACATGTACAGACACATGTACAGACACACGGCACAGACACATGTACAGACACACGGCACAGACACACGGTACAGACACACGGTACAGGCACATGTACAGACACATGGTATAGATACATATACAGACACACGGTACAGACACATGTACAGACACATGGTACAGATACATGTACAGACACACGGCACAGACACATGTACAGACACATGGTACAGACACATGTACAGACACACGGCACAGACACACGGTACAGACACATGGTACAGACACATATACAGCCACATGTACAGACACACGGTACAGACACACGGTACAGACACACGGTACAGACACATGTACAGACACATGTACAGACACAAGGTACAGACACATGTACAGACACATGTACAGACACACGGCACAGACACATGCACAGACACATGTACAGACACACGGTACAGACACATGGTACAGACACACGGCACAGACACACGGTACAGACACATGTACAGACACACGGTACAGACACACGGCACAGACACATGTACAGACACACGGCACAGACACACGGTACAGACACACGGTACAGGCACATGTACAGACACATGGTATAGATACATATACAGACACACGGTACAGACACATGTACAGACACATGGTACAGATACATGTACAGACACACGGCACAGACACATGTACAGACACATGGTACAGACACATGTACAGACACACGGCACAGACACACGGTACAGACACACGGTACAGACACATGTACAGACACATGTACAGACACACGGTACAGACACACGGCACAGACACATGTACAGACACACGGTACAGACACACGGCACAGACACATGTACAGACACACGGTACAGACACATGTACAGACACACGGTACAGACACACGGTACAGACACATGGTACAGACACAGTCTTGAGTCTCTGGGGCGGCACCGTAGCTGAGTGGATACAGGGTCTTTCTGTGTGGAGTTTGCATGTTCTCCCCGTGTAGGTTTCCTCCGGGTGCTCCGGTTTCCCCTACCACTACTAACATGTACAAAAGGTCTGGCACGGGCCTCCTGGTCACTCTGAGTTCCCTCTAACCCAAAAGTCCAAATGTTTTGTTTAAATCCTTTTAATAAATGCAGGAAACTCTGAGACAGAGAAGATCTATATATACAGTATATAACTCTGTCCTATATGTACAGTATATAACTCCTGCTCTATATGTACAGTATATAACTATATATACAGTACTGTATATAACTCTATATGTACAGTATATAACTCTATATGTACAGTATATAACTCTATATATACAGTATATAACTCTATATATACAGTATATAACTCTATATGTACAGTATATAACTCTATATGTACAGTATATAACTCTATATATACAGTATATAACTCTATATATACAGTATATAACTCTATATGTACAGTATATAACTCTATATATACAGTATATAACTCTATATGTACAGTATATAACTCTATATGTACAGTATATAACTCTATATATACAGTATATAACTCTATATACAGTATATAACTCTATATACAGTATATAACTCTATATGTACAGTATATAACTCTATATATACAGTATATAACTCTATATACAGTATATAACTCTATATACAGTATATAACTCTATATGTACAGTATATAACTCTATATATACAGTATATAACTCTATATACAGTATATAACTCTATATACAGTATATAACTCTATATGTACAGTATATAACTCTATATATACAGTATATAACTCTATATGTACAGTATATAACTCTATATATACAGTATATAACTCTATATACAGTATATAACTCTATATGTACAGTATATAACTCTATATATACAGTATATAACTCTATATGTACAGTATATAACTCTATATATACAGTATATAACTCTATATACAGTATATAACTCTATATACAGTATATAACTCTATATGTACAGTATATATATCCCATATAGCTGATGGGAGCTGATGGGAGCCGATGGGAGCCGATGGGAGCCGATGGGAGCCGCTGGGAGCGGGTGCAGAGCCGTCAGAGCCAATGGAAGGGACTGTTATTGTCCTGTGGAGAGCGGGTCTTCTGCATTTGACCCGAGCTGCATCAAGGGCCTCGGGAGCAGTGGTCGCCGTGGGAACAGGGATGAGTCTCTTCAGGACAAGAGCTGCAGGATTTTATCTATTGTACATATTTTTAGTGGTAGGAGAAACCAGAGCACCTTCGCATACGCAGGGAGAACATGCAAACTCTGTTCAGAATGTATTTTATGGTTTATTTTCAGACATAATGTTGTTGCTGAAGAGTATGTTGCTACAGCTGAGGCCCTGGATCAGTTTAAAATGGGACAGGAGCGCCATCTAGCGGCTGTGGTCACACACAGCAACGGAGGGTAGAGAGGGGAGAGCAGAGAGGGGAGAGAGAGGAGAGAGGAGAGAGAGAAGAGAGAGAGGAGAGAGAAGAGAGAGAGGAGAGAGGAGAGAGCAGAGAGAGCAGAGAGAGCAGAGAGAGCAGAGAGAGAGTAGAGAGGAGAGAGAGAAGAGAGAGAGGAGAGAGAGGAGAGAGGAGAGAGAGAAGAGAGAGAGTAGAGAGGAGAGAGAGAAGAGAGAGAGGAGAGAGAGGAGAGAGGAGAGAGAGAAGAGAGAGAGGAGAGAGAAGAGAGAGAGGAGAGAGCAGAGAGAGCAGAGAGAGAGTAGAGAGGAGAGAGAGAAGAGAGAGAGGAAAGAGAGGAGAGAGGAGAGAGAGAAGAGAGAGAGGAGAGAGAGCAGAGAGAGGAGAGAGAGCAGAGAAGAGAGAGAGCAGAGAGGAGGGGAGAGAGAGGAGAGAGAGCAGAGAAGAGAGAGAGCAGAGAGGAGGGGAGAGAGAGGAGAGAGAGCAGAGAAGGGCAGAGAGAGGAGAGAGAGAGAGAGAGAGGAGAGAGAGAGAGAGGAGAGAGGGGAGAGGGGAGAGAAGAGAGGGGAGAGGGGAGAGAAGAGAGAGAGGAGAGAGAGAGGAGAGAGAAGAGAGATAGGAGAGAGGAGAGAGAGAAGAGAGAGAGGAGAGAGAGCAGAGAGAGGAGAGAGAGCAGAGAGGAGGGGAGAGAGAGGAGAGAGAGCAGAGAGGAGGGGAGAGAGAGGAGAGAGGAGAGAGAGAAGAGAGAGAGGAGAGAGAGCAGAGAGAGGAGAGAGAGCAGAGAGGAGGGGAGAGAGAGGAGAGAGAGCAGAGAAGAGAGAGAGCAGAGAGGAGGGGAGAGAGAGGAGAGAGAGAGGAGAGAGAGAGAGAGGAGAGAAGAGAGAGGAGAGAATGGCAGAAAGAGGAGAGAGGAGAGAGAGAGAGAGAGGGCTCTCTGCCTAATCTGTTTGCAGCCTCACAGCGCCCCCTCTGGTCTGACTCACACACTACACTGTGCTGCTGTGGAAAGAGGAGGGAGGGCATCTGGAGTGTTTACCGCTGGCTGCCGTCCGTCACCGTGGGAACCATGGAGATGTTTTCCTCTGGAGGGAAGAGCGGGCGCAGAGAGCCATACCATGTGTTCAGCAAAGTGAGCCTTCGAAAACCTGCAGCAGAAGAACAACAGGGGTTCACATTGAGGAGACAGCAGCAGAACAACAAGGTCTTCACACCGAGGTCTTCACACCGAGGTCTTCACACCAAGGTCTTCACACCAAGGTCTTCACACCAAGGTCCCTTCACATCAAGGTCTTCACACCGAGGCCTTCACACCAAGGTCTTCACACCAAGGCCTTCACACCGAGGTCTTCACGCCAAGGCCTTCACCTTGAGGTCTTCACACCGAGGCCTTCACACCGAGGGCTTCACACCAAGGCCTTCACACCGAGGCCTTCACACCGAGGTCATCACACTGAGGTCTTCACACTGAGGTCTTCACACTGAGGTCTTCACACTGAGGTCTTCACACTGAGGTCTTCACACTGAGGTCTTCACACCGAGTTCTTAACACTGAGGTCTTCACCCCGAAGTCTTCACACCAAGAGAGCGACCAGAGAGAGACCAGAGAGAGACCAGAGAGAGACCAGAGTGAGACCAGAGAGAGACCAGAGAGAGACCAGAGAGAGACCAGAGTGAGACCAGAGAGAGACCAGAGAGAGACCAGAGAGAGACCAGAGTGAGACCAGAGAGAGACCAGAGAGAGACCAGAGTGAGACCAGAGTGAGACCAGAGAGAGACCAGAGTGAGACCAGAGTGAGACCAGAGTGAGACCAGAGTGAGACCAGAGTAGACCTTACCGTTGCGGTGCAGGTCCTGTAGGTCTCTCTCTGGGACAGAGATACAGTCCAGGACAGAGTCGGGGCCACAGAAGTTTGGAGACGTCCAACCATCGTCCACATCCTGCTGCTGCAGCCGCACCTGCTGCATCTCCAGCTCTGCACACACACACACACCTGCTGTTACAACCACACACACACACACCTGGTGTTACAACCACACACACACACACCTGCTGTTAGCACTACACACACACACACACACACACAGACACACACACACACACCTGGTGTTAGCACTACACACACACACACCTGCTGTTACAACCACACACACACACACACACCTGCTGTTAGCACCACACACACAGACACACACACACACACACAGAGACACACACACACACACACACACACACACACACACAGACACACAATAACACATTCATTAAGTGTTGACTCTTGATTCATTAAAATAACTATAATAATAATTTAACTGGGAAGTGTCCAGGGACCACATGGACATGAGGAGGAGGCCTGATGCGGCCCCCAGGCCACACTTTGGCCTGTCCTCTGTACGCTGATGGTTCTGCTGCTGCTGGTTCTACTGCTGATGGTTCTGCTGCTGATGGTTCTGCTGCTGATGGTTCTGCTGCTGATGGTTCTGCTGCTGATGGTTCTGCTGCTGATGGTTCTGCTGCTGATGGTTCTGCTGCTGATGGTTCTGCGGCTGATGGTTCTGCTGCTGATGGTTCTGCGGCTGATGGTTCTGCTGCTGATGGTTCTGCTGCTGATGGTTCTGCTGCTGATGGTCCTGCTGCTGATGGTTCTGCTGCTGATGGTCCTGCTGCTGATGGTTCTGCTGCTGATGGTTCTGCTGCTGATGGTCCTGCTGCTGATGGTTCTGCTGCTGATGGTTCTGCTGCTGATGGTTCTGCTGCTGATGGTTCTGCGGCTGATGGTTCTGCTGCTGATGGTTCTGCGGCTGATGGTTCTGCTGCTGATGGTTCTGCTGCTGATGGTTCTGCTGCTGATGGTCCTGCTGCTGATGGTTCTGCTGCTGATGGTCCTGCTGCTGATGGTTCTGCTGCTGATGGTTCTGCTGCTGATGGTCCTGCTGCTGATGGTTCTGCTGCTGATGGTTCTGCTGCTGATGGTTCTGCTGCTGATGGTCCTGCTGCTGATGGTTCTGCTGCTGATGGTTCTGCTGCTGATAGTTCTGCTGCTGATGGTCCTGCTGCTGATGGTTCTGCTGCTGATGGTTCTGCTGCTGATGGTCCTGCTGCTGATGGTTCTGCTGCTGATGGTTCTGCTGCTGATGGTTCTGCTGCTGATGGTCCTGCTGCTGATGGTTCTGCTGCTGATGGTTCTGCTGCTGATAGTTCTGCTGCTGATGGTTCTGCTGCTGATGGTTCTTCACCTCAGACCAGTTTAGTTTCTTTATGAACTCACTCTGAGAGGTTCATTTGTGCGGTGGAACAGGGCGCTCGGTTACTCCCCCCCCCTCCCTCCCTCCCTCCTGCTCCCTCACCCCCCCTTCCTGCTCCCTCACCCCCCCTTCCTGCTCCCTCACTCCCCCCTCCTGCTCCCTCACCCGCCCCCTCCTGCTCCCTCACCCCCCCCTCCTGCTCCCTCACCCCCCCCCTCCTGCTCCCTCACCCCTCCCTCCTGCTCCCTCACCCCCCCCTCCTGCTCCCTCACCCGCCCCCTCCTGCTCCCTCACCCCTCCCTCCTGCTCCCTCACCCCCCCCCCCCTCCTGCTCCCTCACCCCCTCCCTCCTGCTCCCTCACCCCCCCCTCCTGCTCCCTCACCCGCCCCCTCCTGCTCCCTCACCCCTCCCTCCTGCTCCCTCACCCCCCCCCCCCCTCCTGCTCCCTCACCCCCCCCTCCTGCTCCCTCACCCCCCCCCTCCTGCTCCCTCACCCCCCCCTCCTGCTCCCTCACCCCCCCCTCCTGCTCCCTCCTCACCCCCCCTCCTGCTCCCTCACCCCCCCCTCCTGCTCCCTCACCCCCCCTCCTGCTCCCTCACCCCCCCCTCCTCCCTCCCCCCCCCCCCCTCCTGCTCCCTCACCCCCCCCTCCTGCTCCCTCACCCCCCCCTCCTGCTCCCTCACCCCCCCTCCCTCCCTCACCCCCCCCCCTCCCTCACCCCTCCTGCCCCTCACCCCCCCCTCCTGCTCCCCTCACCCCCCCCCTCCTGCTCCCTCACCCCCCCTCCTGCTCCCTCACCCCCCCCTCCTGCTCCCTCACCCCCCCCTCCTGCTCCCTCACCCCCCCCTCCTGCTCCCTCACCCCCCCCTCCTGCTCCCTCACCCCCCCTCCTGCTCCCTCACCCCCCCTCCTGCTCCCTCACCCCCCCCTCCTGCTCCCTCACCCCCCCCTCCTGCTCCCTCACCCCCCCCTCCTGCTCCCTCACCCCCCCCTCCTGCTCCCTCACCCTCACTATCACCTGATATTTCTAAACAACAGTGAATTGCAATCATGGCTGATTGGTGCTGAGCTGGAATGCCGTCTCCATGGAAACGCCTGGTTTGGTTTTCGCTCTGAGCGTCTTTTCTCTTAAGAAAAATCTAATTTGAGAATGTTTTTCACATCAAATTCAAGACAATGAAGCGAGAAAGTGAAGGACATGATGTTCCAACTGACGTCTGCCTGGTAACTGTTCTGACACACACACACACACACACACAGAGACACACACAGAGACATGGAGAGAGACACACACACACACACACACAGAGAGACACACAGAGACATGGAGAGAGACACACACACACATACAGAGACATGGAGAGAGACACACACACACACACACAGAGACATGGAGAGACACACACACACACACACACACACACACACACACACAGAGAGACACACACAGAGACATGGAGAGAGACACACACAGACCCAGAGAGACAGAGACAGACACACAGAGACACAGAGACCCAGACACACACAGAGAGACCCAGAGACACAGAGACACACACACAGAGAGACACACACACAGAGACAAACACACAGACACACACAGAGACAAACACACAGACACACACAGAGAGACACACACACACAGATGCACACACAGTAACACAGAGACACACACACACACAGCCTGTAGCTCTCAGTGGTCTCCCATCACAGAACTAGCCCGGCCCTGCCCTGCTGTGCCTCTCTTTGACAGATGATGTACAACACAGTGACAAGTGTCAGTATTAGTGCAGGTTTCACACCGTGATCATTTAAAGTGACTTCACGCTCCTCACAGCAGCAGGAGAACCATTCATGTGAATGTCATTTCAAACGTTCTGCCGGTCATTATTTTCTATAACGGACATTTCAAAACAATAATGACCACTGCCCTTTGGCAACGCACTCTCTGCTTGTCTCTCAGATGCGTGGATAACTCCGACAGTAGTTCTGGAGAATACATTATATATATACAGTCTTAATACAAGGAAGTTTTCAGAATGTTCCGTTTATGTTTTCATGACAAAAACACTGATGTAATACGAGAAAAGGCGATGGTGAAAAACCCAGAAGTAGATACGGCACATTTTAGGAACATTTGCAGAGGATGGAATTATGGATTTAGGTTAAGTTTATGTTTGGGTCACTCACCGCTGATGTTCAGGATTCTGTGTTCAGTTTTCATACAGTTCCAGAGAGTTCTAGTTTGGAAGTTGTTAGCCTAATGGTGCTAGCATAGCCACGGGAAAGCCTTTGGGAACTATTTATTTTCTTTCTTATTTTAAATAAACCTTTGGGCATTCCTAAAAGTGACTGAGGTTTATGTTGTGTTCTGTTGGTATAAAGCCGTATAATAAGCGGGATAACGTATATTACGCAGGAGTCGGGGTCCGCTTCGCCTGAAGGTGCTTATTTTCAGATGACCTGTGTAAGATACGTTATCCCTTACTTATTGTACAGTCTGACAGCAGTGGGGATAAAGGCCCTGCTCCTTCTTCCACTGAAGGAGCTCCTCAGCTCCTCTACAGTCCTGTGCAGTGGGAGGTGTTGTTCATGATGGAGGTGGCTTTGGCTACGTGAGAATCTTTACTCTCGGATAAACAAGGACGTTAGAATATCTCTCTCTGGTCTCTCTCTCTGGTCTCTCTCTGGTCTCTCTCTGGTCTCTCTCTGGTCTCTCTCTGGTCTCTCTCTCTGGTCTCTCTCTCTGGTCTCTCTCTGGTCTCTCTCTGGTCTCTCTCTCTGGTCTCTCTCTCTGGTCTCTCTCTGGTCTCTCTCTGGTCTCTCTCTGGTCTCTCTCTGGTCTCTCTCTGGTCTCTCTCTCTGGTCTCTCTCTGGTCTCTCTCTGGTCTCTCTCTGGTCTCTCTCTGGTCTCTCTCTCTGGTCTCTCTCTGGTCTCTCTCTCTGGTCTCTCTCTCTGGTCTCTCTCTGGTCTCTCTCTGGTCTCTCTCTCTGGTCTCTCTCTGGTCTCTCTCTGGTCTCTCTCTGGTCTCTCTCTCTGGTCTCGCTCTGGTCTCTCTCTCTGGTCTCGCTCTGGTCTCTCTCTCTGGTCTCGCTCTGGTCTCTCTCTCTGGTCTCGCTCTGGTCTCTCTCTGGTCTCGCTCTGGTCTCTCTCTCTCTGGTCTCGCTCTGGTCTCGCTCTGGTCTCTCTCTGGTCTCTCTCTGGTCTCGCTCTGGTCTCGCTCTGGTCTCGCTCTGGTCTCTCTCTGGTCTCTCTGGTCTCTCTCTGGTCTCGCTCTGGTCTCGCTCTGGTCTCTCTCTGGTCTCGCTCTGGTCTCGCTCTGGTCTCTCTCTGGTCTCTCTCTGGTCTCGCTCTGGTCTCGCTCTGGTCTCGCTCTGGTCTCGCTCTGGTCTCTCTGGTCTCTCTCTGGTCTCGCTCTGGTCTCGCTCTGGTCTCTCTCTGGTCTCGCTCTGGTCTCGCTCTGGTCTCGCTCTGGTCTCGCTCTGGTCTCGCTCTGGTCTCTCCTGCTCACTCACTCTGATGCATCACTTCACAGATGGTGAAGGACGACTTTTCTTTTCTTTAAACCTATTTCACTCTGATCAGTGTTAATCTGAGAAACTCAGATTATGGACCTCACACACACACATAGAGACACAAACTGTGTATGCGTCTCTGTGTGTGTCTCTGTGTCTGTGTGTGTGTGTCTCTCTGTGTGTCTCTGTGTGTCTCTGTGTGTCTGTGTGCGTGTGTGTGACTGTGTGTGTATGCGTGTGTATGTGTGTGTGTGTGTGTAACTGTGTGTGCGTGTGTATGTGTGTGTGTGTGTGTGTGTGTGAGTGTATGTGTGTGTGTATGTCTGTATGTGTGTGAGTGTGTGCACTTGTTTTCAACTCCTGGTGGGTTCCATAACCTGAGATTCCACTCACGTCATGGGGACTGGTTTTACGTGGTGGGGCCCGAACACCGGACCCCACTGGTCCAAGCTTAATAATCAATGGGTAATGCTTTTCTAACGGTCCTTATGCAGTCTCTGTAAAAATATGGAAAGGACCCCTGGAGGTTTACTTTCCTGAAAAAAGTGTGTTATGTGTCGGAACCCTGGTGGTGGGTTGCGGGATATCAAGGAGGGGCACACTGGGGGCAATTTCAGTCCAGCAGGCTGGAGCCAATCATGGAGCAGCACAACAGAGGCTGGAGCCAATCATGGAGCAGCACAACAGAGGCTGGAGCCAATCATGGAGCAGCACAACAGAGGCTGGAGCCAATCATGGAGCAGCACAACAGAGGAAATCAGGTGTCAGGCTAGAAAAAGGTGCAAGTGTGTGGTTCATTAGGCTGCAGCCAATCACAGAGCAGCACACTGAAGCGCACGCTTACAAACCACTGGTAAGTGCTGACTACAAGTCATGACTTCAAATTGTTATATAGAATTATTACAAATTATTTGTTGTTTGTGCAGCTTAGTCAAGAGTCCCTAATTGATGAAGTCGACTCAGATTCTGACGATTTAACTGTCAAGAAGAAACCTGTAAAAAAGTATGGAAAAAGAAAAATCAAAAACACTTTTCTTCAAGACTCGGAAAGTGACGAACCAAAGGCAAATAAGATTGTTATCATGCAGCTGCAAAAGAAGAAAAATGGGGGGAGAGTTTACAGCAAGAGACACTTCTGCCTCTACTGTTCAATGTCCTGCCACAAAATGTCCCGTCATTTGAAAACATGGAAATGAAAGTGACGTAGCCAGAGCATTGGCTCTACCTGTGAAATCTAAAGCACGTAAACTTCAGTTTGATTTGATCAGGAATAGTGGAAACCGTGAGCACAATTTTGAGGTTTTAAAGGCCGGCAATGGAACTTTAGTCCCAGCTAAACAGCCAAATTCCCCAGTTAAATCCAGTGAGTTTTTGCACTGTATAGACTGTGGGGCATTGCTTAAGCGAAAGTCGCTGTGGAGGCATGTGGCCAGGTGCCGGCTTTCACAGAAAGATGCCCAGGCTAAACCAGGTAGAAGTAGGGTCCAGTCCCTCTGCTCCCTAGCCCAGCCTGTACCGGAGGGCATCAGCAAAAAGCTGTGGTCTTTAATTTGGGCAATGCATCAGGATGAGGTCACGGGTGTTGTCAAAGCAGAAAAGGGGATTCTGAGACTCGGAGAGCACCTGTACTTAAAACACGGGCATGATAAGACTAAGCATGATTACATTAGGCAGAAAATGAGAGAAGTCGGTAGGTTAATTAACGAAGCAAAAACCGCAGGGAAACTGAAAACAATGAAGGATTTCTTTATTCCTTCCAACTTTAACCATGTGATTGATGCAGTCAGGTCTGTGGCTGGATATGATGAGGAAACAAATCAATACAAGACTCCATCCTTGGCCCTCAAACTCGGCCATAGCCTCAGAAAGCTAGCAGATATTCTTGAATGTGACTCAAAAATGGAGCATTGTGTTGATGAACTATTTATTAAAAACCTCCAACGAAGCCGGCTGCTTTTTGAGAAGAGGTGGGACGTCTGTGTTTCTTCTGCTGCCCTACAGACCCTCCGGCAAGCCAAGTGGAACACTCCGGACCTGCTCCCTCTGACTGAGGACGTTAGAGCCATGCATGCACATATTGAGGTATGTCGACCTGAATATGTGCAAACCCTAATAAGTGAGCCAACGTCTAAGCATTGGTCTAAACTGGCAGTTTTGACTCTTTGTGAGGTCATCATTTTCAATCGAAGAAGGGAAGGTGAGGTTTCAAAGATGCCACTGACAGCCTTTACCTTAAGAAGTAAGACTGGGATCCATTCTGACATTGCTCTGGGACTGTCCCAACTTGAGAAAAAGCTGTGTCAGCATTTTCAACGCATTGAAATTAAAGGGAAAAGAAGTCGGAAAGTGCCGGTTCTTTTGACTCCTGAAATGATTGCTTGGATGGAGGTGCTGGTGGAGAACAGAAGGGCCTGTTCCATCTCTGACCATAACCCATACTTCTTTTCCCGCCCGGGCGCAGACACCCACATCAGGGGATCAGACTCCCTACGCCAGGTAGCCAAAGAATGTGGTGCGGTGCATCCAGAGATGCTATCCTCAACCAAACTTAGAAAGCACATAGCTACTATGTCTACAGTTCTCAATATGAAAGAGAATGAGATGGACATACTTGCCAACTTCCTCGGCCATGACATTCGCATCCACAGGCAATATTACAGACTACCAGAGGGGACACTGGAGCTGGCCAAAATCAGCAAAGTGTTGATGGCCATGGAGCAGGGAAGAGTGACGGAATTCGAAGGAAAGAGCCTCGACCAGATACAAATTGAGCCTGAAGGTAATTCTTGATATTATTAAAATATGTATGATTTTTTTCCCCTAAAGGCCACTTGTATTTTTATTTTCTGTGCGACAGGGAGAGCAGTAGAGATCCTCTCACAAACGGACGGGCTAAAAGAAACTTCAAGCGGAGAACCTTCAACCATTCATCCAGATGCACCCCATGGTAGTGGCAGTGCCCCTTCTGGTAAGTGTACCAGGTGGGGGATTACAGCCAGGCTGCTTGGTCCTAACCCTGGGAGTGTATATTGCTAATATATTTTTATTTCTCTCCCTAGAACGTTAGAGAAAGCCATGGTCTGCATCTGAGGTGAAGGCTGTGGAGAAGACCATGACACCTTTCATACAGACTGGAAAGGTCCCTGGGAAGTCTCACTGCCTGGCCTGGCCTGGCCTGGCCTGCATTAATGCCTCACCAGATGACCTTAGACATCGGACATGGAGTGGCATTAAATTCTATGTCAAAAATAGAATCACTGCAATTCGAAAACAAAATCTAAAATAAAATTCCTTTAAAATAGTTGTTTGGTTTCTATTGACTGTTTTGTATTACTTAAAGTCTTGGTAAAAAAAGATTATGTCTATGGGTCCCATTCTGAACGGCCCTGTCAAAGGGACCCACCAGGTAACAAAAACGTGTATGTGTGTGTGTGTGTGTGTGTGCGCGTCACTCACTGATGTTGTCACTCTGGATGGTCACGTGTGTATTCTCAGACGTCAGACTCAGACTCAGACCAGTCACGAAGCGATCGATACTTTTCACCACATCCATGGGACCATTCACCACCTGGACACCAGGGGGCAGCACAAGTTCAAGTTCAAGTTCAAGTTGTCTTTATTGTCCCACTAGGGGAAATTGGTTTTGCAGCATAAATCATCTAAAAGAACAGGCAGATACAGTAAAATCACAACATTGAGAA